AGGGGGGGGGGTCGAACTCGAAGTGACCCCCCTCATTTTAATGATGGACTGGGGAGGATGGGGGGGTCGAACCGGCGGTGACCCCCCCCCCCCCCCGGTTTTCGATGGAGGGGGGGGGGGGCTGGTAACCCCCAGAATCCCCCCCCCCCTTTGTTTTCCACCAGCAGCGGTAGAACACGCTTTTTCAAACATAAGCGTTCCGAGAACGGCGCGGGTTTCTTGGATCGGCGCTGGACCCCATCCGCCCTGCACTGCGCGCCGATGGAAGGTGTAGACCCAATACTGCGAAGCGGGGCCGTAGTGCAATTATAACAGCGAGGTTGTATGTCAGCAAAGATACCGCAAAGAAGTCAACAATAGCCGCAATGGATGGCGAAATATGGCTGCTAAGCGGAACCCGCGATGGCCCCTACGGATACGCCCAAACTCACGGGCCCTGGAGCCCAAATGGACACGAAGGGACGTGTTCCCTCTCGCCTGAATATCAGCACACTCTGCTTGCTAGCTGGCATGCTATGCTACGCAGCTTACAGGTCAGCACGGACACTATACATATGTATACATAGAATGTATACATATACATACATATATATATAGATCACTCGTGCACAATTATTATGATATGTGCGTCTCTGGCCGTAGATCGCTTAGACGTGTGAAATCTCACGTCAACCAACTAAGCTGAAATCGAGCTCCTGATGCGCTCTATCCTGAAACCAGGCGTATGGCGCGCTTGAAAAGCGAACCGGCACTGTTCATATGTGCCTCCTGCTGGTCGGTCGGAACCCAAAAGAGAGGCAGCTGGCTGCGCTGATCGTCGGTAACGAATTCGTTACTTATTTCCTCTTCCAGTGACTCCTTGAGGCCTACTAGGTCTAGCAAAAGGCGCCGCTCTGACGGGAGCTTGGAATAACCGTCTTTGTGTATCGCATCGCACAAGCTAGCGCAATCTGTGACCTGAGCAAGCGGCAGCAAACTCGGGGGGGACATCTACCGGATGAGCATCCGGTATCTCAAGCGAAGCGAAAACACAGCGTGTGATCTGAGCACAGCCTACTGCGTCTACTGTTGACATCGCCTCAGCTGCCAAAATACATATGCAAACTCTCTCGGTGGTGCCTGATCGCCAATCAACGATTCCCGCTCGCGCCTTGTCGCTGCACAACAGCTTGGCCTCGGCGATGAACGTCACGTAGCCGGCCTGCGAGCGGATCTTGATATTCTTGTCCTTGCTTCCAACGATCTTGGTGAGTAGCGTAGCTATGACACCTTCAGGAGGCTCGTCAGCATTGGCCCAGCTGCCGTCGTGGAAAATGACCAAGCAAAGCGGTCCACGTAGCTTCAGGAATTCCAGTCCCACGTCCGCGTGCTTCCGCGTCAGCTTGATGAGCCGATTCGTCTCGAGCAGGTCCTGGATGGTGGGCTTGTTCTGGGCGCGCTGTCCCATGGCCACTCTAGCTGACAGGTCTGGCCAAGCCTGCGATGAGAGCAATCCAAGCGCTCCGAGGGCGGAGCGGTCGTCCGAAAACTCGGCTGGCGTCGCCTCCACCGACAGCTCCGTCTTGCGCCCCTTGCTGAGCACGATCTCTTCGATCGTGTTCGCGTACTCTCTGGCGTAGGCGCAGGTCGCCCTCCTCATCGCGCCACGCCAGCTTGCCACAAAATGTGAATGGCAAGCCCCTCCACTCGCCCCACGGCAGGAGCTTGTAGAGCCGGTCGCACAGGGTCGGGCACTTGCGCGAGACGCCCAGCAGCAGGTCGTCCACGTGGGCGACCACCACCGCGCACAGCTCCCCGCGCTTCTCGTAGCCGTAGTACAGCGCCGGATCTAGCGAATGCTGGCGAAGTCGGAACATGCAGTCACCTAGCTTCTCCTCCACCGCGAGCAAGGTCCTTTTGAGCTTGGCCCACCACTGTCGCGGTGCGGTGGCTAGCCCGAAGACCCCCTTGAGGATAATGATCAACTGCCCCGGGTGCAACTCAGGTAAGCCCTCGCGGGGCTGAGCCATGTGCAACTGCTGGTCGGGCTGCTCGTCGCCTTGCATGAAAGCCGCCTCCACGTCCGCTGCGTAGATCTCCAGGTCGAATCCCTGGCAGACGGTGAAGAACAGCATAGTCGAGATGCGGGTGACCGTAGGCGCGTCTGTGCGCAGGTCGCCCTGAGCGAGACGCGGGCCCATGTGACCCCCGACGCAGAGTCGGGCCTTGGCCTTGACCGGCAGCGGGTGCTTCAGTCCGCAGCGGCGCGTTCATATCCCGGCACACAAACCGGGCAAGATGAGGTTGGCCTTGACCCTGCCCCTGACGACTCGGACTCCTCGAGGGTGAGCACCTGACAAGATCCGTACTTCTGCCACTCGCTCCACTGCTTGGCCGCCGCCTCTCGGTAGAGCCCCCTGTCGAAGTCCTTGATGGCCCTCCAGTGGATCCCCTTGTCGGCTTGCTTGCGCTCGATCCTCTCGGCGACGACGGAGGTCTGCATCGCTTCTCTGGGAGCCGACCTCGAAAGCTCTATAGCGCCCTCCTGCTCGGATCCGGCCGCTGCTCCGCCGTCGGGCACGGCCGCCCGATCGCGCGAGGCTGTCCTCGGGGGCGGTCCTCCGGAGACCGCGTGCCCCTTGGCGGTCTGCAGACCCTTGATGGCCGAGCCGAAGTCGCCGCTGCCCGCCCCGTCGAAGGTCGCTCGCCGTCGTCGGAACTCGACGGGACCTATAGGGCTGCTCCTCCAAGGCTGACTGAGGCATGTCGGCTCGGCCGGCGGGCAGCACCTCGATCTGCTCCTGGGACTTCGGTCGGGAACGTTCAGCATCAGGTCGTCGTCGTCGCCTGGGCTGTCGATGAACTCCCGCCACGCCTGCTCCATCTCGTCTGGCTGGACCTCGGGCCGGCCCGGCTCGGGGCAGATGTCCTCCACCGGGGCCTCCTCCTGCTCAAGTCAGTCGCGAGACCTGTCGAGCTCGGCCACGGCCTGGCCGATCTCGCCCCGACCGTTCGGGAACCAGACGTCGTCCGGAGCGAGCGCCTTGATGTGCTCCGGGGCCACCAGCATGGCGCGCCTTCCCAGCGAGACCCAAGTGTCGTTGCCCTGGTGACTGATGATCACGCACGGCTCCCGCTAGACCCCCTTCTTGGCGTTGCGACTGTGCTGCCCCTTCTGCCCCCTCTTCTTGACTTGGCGGAAAATGTAGCACATCTCGCCCACTAACAAGGGCGTGGCCACGGCGCGCGCGCGAGCCAGCATAGCTCGTCTGAGCTGGTCGTCGTTCTGCATCCGCATAAACGACTCGCGCGCCGCCGCTCGAATTGCATATCGGCGGCGAATATTCCCGTCATTGGTGGCGAGGCTGTGGGCACTGTAGTTGGCCGTGTCGTCCACCGGGTCGGCGGGCCTCTTGGGATCGCCCCCCAGCACCCACTGCGCGAGGCAGAAGCCAGCCCGCCGCCTCAGCGAGTTCTTCGCGCCCGACGCCATGATGCCCAGCGTCCGCATCTCGTCCTCGCCCCTGATCGACGAGGGCTCGATCGCCCTTGCAGCGAGCTCCTTCCACCAGGCTCCCTGACGTTCCACTCGACCGAGCTGCCAGTGGGCCTGTCCCGCAATAGGTAGCTGCACCGTGTCGAAAGACTGGAACATCTCTCTGAGAACGCCGCCGAAGCCCCTCTCCACGTCGAAGTGGACTCGGTCCGGGACGCCGGCCCAGGAGGCCCAGGACCTCTCGAAGGCCGTAGCGAACTCCTGGCTGGCGCGGCGACCGATCAGCGTCGCGACGTGGAAGGTAGTAGCCAAGTCGACGATGCTGAAGTACCAGTAACTCTCGCCGTCGACGTCCTTGAGCTCGAAGCAAGCGAAGCCCACATCGTCGCCGAAATCCTGCACGAAGTGGAGGTGCGCTGGCCCCCTCGCGCTCGGGCGCTGCTGCGAGCGGCACGCTCCGCAGATCAGCCCCTTGACGGCCTGCACGGTGGCCGACTTAGCGCCCTTGAGTCGCAGACTGCGGCCCAAGTCTTCATGCGACGGATGGCCCACGTTGACGCGGAGTCTCTTGAGGATGGCCAACTCGGCTGGCTTGCAGCAGGCCGCTGCTTTCTTGGGAGGTGATCGCGCCGACCCCGATCCTGCCGTCCACAGTCTCGTCGGTCTTCACGTCGCGAGCGTCGGCGAAATCGTCTCCGCCGCCCATGGGGTCTGAGTCCCCAATAGGCTCGCCCGTCTCTCCCAAGGACGCGGCGTCGTTCACGTAGGCGGCGGCCTGCTCCTTCAACTCCGTCGCGATGAAGGGCGACGAAGAAGCGCCGCAGTCCACCTGGCAGGCGCGAGGCCCACCCTGCCGGCGAATGATCTGCTCGACGATGCGAACCACCGCTCGGCAGAACATGGCTGGGTAAACGCCAGACTTCCGCACCGCCACGTTGTCCCCGAACGTCTGGTCGTGGCGCGCGTGGCTGCAGGTGCGGCGTAGCCGCTCGAACTCCTTGCGGGCGACGAGCAGCCTGGCGGGGTGCTCGATGAGCCGCCTTGCCCTGTAGCGTCGAGCTCCGTACTCGCACATGTCGCGCCTCACCTGGTACACGCGCTTGTCGGCAAGTAGCTCCATCATGATGCGCTGTGTCAAGATCCGGCTGGTGGCCGGGTTCTCGATCATGGCGACGCCGCCTGAATCGAGCTGCGACTTGACGAGGTCGCGAGCCAAGAAAAGAAATGGCCGCTCCGCGCGCCACAATCGCCGCAGCGCCTGCTTGCCCTGCGGCGCGCGGAAGTTGAGGTGCGCAATGTTCGCGCAGTAGGTGCAGGGTAGCTCGGTCGACACGAACTTCGAACTCGATGCGTGGCACCGCTCGTACGTCATCTCGAGGTCCTTCTGCTTGCGGAAGCCCCAGCCGCACTTGCGGTCGATCACCTCCGTGGCTGTCACGTCGCGGCGCACTGCCGCCTCGGTAATACCGCCTTCGCCTCCAAACACCTGCGTGACGTCCACGCCGTGGCTCCGGGCGGCGTAGATCTCCTCGACGCCCCTCACGTGGTCGGCCACGTCCTGCGCGGCGCCCGTCGCATACTGAGCGAACGGCTTTAGAGGGCGGGACAGCCAGTCCGCGGGGAGCACCGCCTGAAACGCGAAGGCGCTCAGCAAGCCCGTGACCTGGTAGAGTAAGCCGACGCGCTTGCCCTTCTTGATGCCTGGCCGCCCGCCCGAGGCTGGCGGCCGGTCCCGGCGGCTGCCGCCGCCCAGGCCTTGTCGCGCGGAGACGCCGCATCCGTCTCCTGGTCGGTCTCGCCCGCCGTGGTCGCCGGCGTCCATCTCGTGCTCCTCGACCGTCCTCGGGCGGCGGTGACCCGCCCAGCTGCCTTGACATGCTGGGGCCCGCTGGATCGTCGCCGTCAGCGCCGCCGACTCGTCGTCCAGGACCACCTCCGCGGCCATCACCGCCTCGATGGCGGTCTTGAATTTCTCTGGCTCGAGCGGCTTCACTCCGTGAGCCTTGACCCACCTGCCGAAGCGCGCCAGGAGCGGGCTCGGTCGGCCGTTGTCCAGCTCCAGCACCGCCCACCGCGCGTAACCCAGGTCGTTCTTGAGCACCCAGCGGTAATCCGCGGTCGGGTACTTGCCGCCGAAGCGCATCTTGTCGTTCCCCGTGATCTGCGAGCTTGGATAGGCCACGTTGCTCGAGGCGCCGCTGACCGCGTTCTCGACCTTCCAGCCCTTCGGGCGCTGCCTGAGCTCCGGCGCAGTCGTGTGCCGGTCGAAATCGATGCCCTTCATTCTGCACAACTCCTGGAGCTCGTGCTTGCGCATCTTGCCGAAGCGCGCCCTGTCCTGGACCTTGGCCCTCAGCGCGCGCAAGATGACGCGGAGCTGGTCGCACGTCGCGTCGCGCACATCCAACTCGTAGCTTGCCACCTCCGCCTGTCGGCCCCCCATCCGCATGCTGGAGATCGCCGGCAGGCGGGAAGTACTCGGCGTCGGCGCATTCGAGCAGCTGGCCTCCGATTTCGTCGCCCTGGGAGATGTCATACATGTCCGCTGCGACGGGGGCGTAAACTCCGGCCGCTGGCACGCGAAAAATTGCGGTGGCTGGATCTGCCACGGCACGCGTCGTAAAGGTTGTTGGGGCCTGAGATGAACTCGAGCCGGATGGCTGCGGTGATGATGCCGTGTGATGACCCCGCGCTGATGGCTGATCTCGTAGCTCGCTACCGCTTGCTTACGACTGACATCGGACACGTTGTGGCTGAGGATCGCTGTCTGGTTTAGCTCCTCGTCCTGTGTGATCGGTTTGCATGATCTGTGCTGCGCTGGCGGACGTAGGAATAATTCCCCATGCCTCATTCTCCGACCCCGATGATGACTGACGCGATGGAATAGATGCGCACATGGCCTGGCGCACCTGCTGCTCGACTAGTTCAGCGCTGTCGAGCTCGTCACAATCAGTCTCCGACTGAGACTCGTCGGCCTCCGAGGCGACCCCTTGGTCGCAGCACTCGGGCGCTACCGGCTTGGCGGCGCTGGTCTTGTCGTCCGAGACGCCCGACACGGGCTTGTAGTTTGGCGCGAAGCCTGTGATCTCAAGCGTCGGGTGTCCAGCGCGGCCCAAACCCATCTGGATGCCGTGCTCGTTGACAGACTTGATGTGAAGCTCCTCGTTGTCCCCTGCGTGGTAGACAACGACCAGCTCGCTCTGGGCCTGGCGGCTGAACAGCCCAAGCACGGCGCCGCGCACAATGCTCATGCGCACGGCGAAGGCCTTGCCATTCACCGAGCCGGGAATCAACGCCGCCTTGAGGCTGTACGCCACCTTGGACGCTCCGAAGCGGAACGGCTCCTTCTCCGGGAACTGGATCGGCTGGATGCTGAAGGCCGCCAGCTTCTTCTTGGCGTCGTTGCACCAGTCCTGGTCGCCGACGCACCGCAAGCAGGCAGCGTCGGAAGTCAGCTTGCCGCCCGACTCCTTGAGTAGGCCTTCGACTCTGATGTAGATGAGCGCCGAACCCGTCGCAGCCATGTGGCACTGGCTGTCCTTGTTGATGTAGAACGAGGCAGCCGTCACCTCCTCGGGCATGTCGCGCAGCGCGTTGCCGAAGGTGATCCCCCTCTGATCTCGCGCCGCTCTCGGCTGCTCGCGCGGGCAGACCGCCGCGACCGCCATCTCCGCGACGTGGGGCCCCTGCGCGGCGCCAGCCCCGTCGTTCGTAGTCATGTTCGTCTTGCGACAGCCCTTCCGCGGGATGTCGGCCCGCGCGTTGGGGTCGTTCTTCTTGGAGCACTGCGGGTCGCCGTGCCAGTGGCCTTTCTGGCCACACGCTCCACGCTGCGCCCTCGCCTTATCTTGGCGGTCTTGGCATCGACATTCTTCGGCGGGCGCCCGCCGTCTCGCTTGGCGAAGTAGCCGCGCGCTTGCTTAGCCTCCTTTAGCTTGCCCTTGGCGCGCACCATCTTCTTGGCGAAGAAAAACACCTGCCCCTCCGCCTCGCCCATCACGTCCTGCAGCTCATCCGGCAAATCGTCGGCGTTGCCCTCGGAGCTGTCGGTGGACGCGCCGTCGTTCTCGGCCTCGTCATAGGCCTCCGTGGCGTACACCTTCTTGTGGTCCTTCTTGTGACCTCCGTAGCCACCTCTGCCGTGGCGATGCTCTTCGTTGCCGTCCACGACCGATACTTTGGGCAAATTGATCGTGAGCTGCTCCTGGATCTTCGTCGGATTAAACTTGTTGCCCACGCCGTTCAGCACACTCGCCGCGCGCTCCGGTGGCAGGCGGGCGCCCTTGATGCACCGGTCGGCCAAGACCTCGTCGGGCACCTGGATGTCCTTAGCTCTCAGCTTCGTCGCTATGCTGTTGAAGCGATTGTTGAAATCGCGGATCTCCTCAAGCTTGCGCCGGATGCACGCCGGCTTCACGAATGTCTCCAGGAGCGCCGGTAACTCCAATACTTCGATCTCGGGAAAGCGTTTCCCGAGGCACGCCAAGAAAACCTCCACCGAGTCGTCGCCCTTGATGGTCTCCAGGTCGAGCTCCTCGCGCGCCTCCTCGGCCTTGCCCTTGAGGCTGGCCAACGGCGTCGCGCCCTGCTTGGGCAGCTTGACCTCTGCGCCGATCTGCCAGGCGGCGACTTTTCGGCGGAACTTCTTCATCGTCTTGCCCGTGCCGTCAAGGACGGGTACGGGAATATTGCCCCCGCTGTTCTTGTCCTCGCCGCCGGCTGCAGCGGCTCCTCCAATAGTCGCCATGGCGGCAACTCCACATGAGAGGTGTCAGTCGCAAGACTATAAGCCCTCAGCTCCGAATGAGAGGTGTCAGTGGCAATAACGAGCTTGTAGGTGCCTTTATTGTCTCTGCGATGTCGCGCACGTTGCCGTGGTAGAGTTAGCTCCGCTACCAACGTAGGCCCAATACTGCGAAGCGGGGTCGTAGTGCAATAATAACCGCGAGGTTGTATGTCAGCAAAGATTCCGCAATGATATCAATAATATCCGCAATGGATGGCGAAAAATGGTTGCTTAGCGAAACACGCGATGGCCCCTACCGACACGCCCAAGCTCAAGGGCCCTGGAGCCCAAATGGATACGAAAGGACATGTTGCCTCTCGCCTGAATATTAGCGCACGTTGCTTGCTTGCTGGCAGGCTATGCTACACTGCTTACATATCAGCACGGACACTATATATATATATATATATATATCTCAAAAGGGGAGCGGGGGAACGCGGAGGGAGGGCCTGAAGCGAAGGATAAAAAAGAACCGGAAATGCTGCAAAAAGAACCGGAAATGCTGTTTAAACCTAAACGGTCCGATAACGGCGCGGGTTTCTTGGGTCGGCGCTGGACCCCCTTCAGAAGGCGACGGGGCTTCTCGGCGGACCCCCCCCCGCCTTATGAGAAATCCCCTGCGGCTTCGGAGAAGACTTGGAAAGCATATCAGAAAGCAGCTGGCCTTCGGAGCCTTCTGAGAAGACCCGGTCCCTCTGCCTTGCTCCCAGAGCGTCGTCGACAGGGGCCGTCCAGGAAGGGGCCCAGACACAGGTGCGCAGACTGCTGCGCTCTCCGTCCAAGGCTGCGTGGGGCGGCGGCACGTGGCAGCCGCCGCCGTCGCAGTGTAGGGCCAAGTCGACGTCGTCGCAGCTGGGGTCGCCGCGCGGGAGCGGCCGGCCATGGCTGTGCCAGATGAAGAGAGGCGGCTTTGCTCAACGGCCTCCTCCGGACGACGCGGACGCTGTCGTCGGGCAGCACCAACTGCGGCCCGAAACGGCCGCGCCAACCACACCAGCCCTCCTCAACCAGAGGGGTCCGCACAGGCCGCAGGGCCTCGAGCCGACACCAAGAGCGAGGAGGGAGGAGCTCCTCGCGCTATGGAGCCAGCGAGGAGGGGAAGGGAACGAAGGAAAGCGGGAGGAGGCGGGAGGGGGGAGGGAATTCGCTAGAGCTTTCTGATGCCCAGGGCGTGGCAGAAAGGCGGAGTGAGGAGGAGAAGGAGGATGAGGATGAGGGGGAGGAAAAGGAAGGGACAGGAGGAGGAGGAGGAGGAAGAGGAAGAGGAGGAGGAGAAGAGCGAGGCGGCGGCGGCGGACGGTGGAATGAGCGTTCAAGCCGTTCTCTCTAAGCACAAATTGGAAAAAAAAAAAAAACCGAGGAGTTTTACACCAACAGGGCTCTGGAAGAAACTCTGGTCTCCTCATGGGGCCAGAGAATCGAAGAAAAGGACCAAGGGGCCAAGCGGCGTCTGCGCCGCTCCTTGGCCTCAGCTCGATTCCGTCTGATGCGTTCGAGCTGTGCCGACGAAAGGGTCGGTGGGGGGGGAGGGGGAGCAGGAAGGAAAAAGGAGGGGGGAACCCCGTCCTCGGGGTCAGAGGGCGGCCCGGCCTCGCTGGGCGGGTCGTCGGGCGGCGCTGCCAGCTCCGCGGCTGGAGGGTCCTGCGGCGGAAACCGGGGATCCTCGGCAGGGGAGGAGGGAGAGGAAGGAGGCCGCCAGCGGCTGGATTCAGGATCACCACGCTTCCTGGAAGTCGCGGTGGGTCGGGCGAAATCTGGGGCCTCCCAGAACGCGGCGCCAGGATCCCATGGAATGTGAAATTCACGCAGACTGCAGGTGTCGGAGGGGGTGGGGTCCTGATCCCATGGGTCGCCTTCATACGTAGCAGTAACAATGGCATCCGTCATGGCCGTAGCTATAGCTGTACACATCCGTGTCGGGTAGGTCTTCTTCGCACTGGTTTTGAAGCTGTGGTCCTCATTTTTGCCGAGAAGCGTTTTATGTACTCCCTTGCCGTGATTGCATTTGCCGTTGTTGCAAGCCGTAAGTTTGCCGTGCAAAGTGGGAAGACGGAGCGACATGATCCTCGTCGGGGCACGGCCGACTGTAGCCGGATCTGCATCATTGAGGGTGCACTGGTCGAAATCCGTCGTAGCAACAATGGGACAGCATTCCAGAGAACGGAGAGGCATCCACGCAAAACTTGAAACTGCCTGGGCTCTCCACCAAGCGGGTGCTGGGTGCTCCATCCACCCGCACGTCCCTGCTCTGATGTGTTCCGCGAGCAGAAGCACAAGACATTGCAGGAGCTTGTTACCTACTTCGAGCTGCTGTGCCTGGGTCGGAGAGGCCCACGGAACACCCCAGAAATACTCGGCAGTCCTGAGTGGGGGGGGCCCCCCCTCCAGCCATCTAGCTGGGCACCAGGTCTCGCAGGGGGGTCCCCCCCCCTGAAGCCCAGACTCGGCGAGCTCTGATGTGGCCTGCCCATTCGTCTATCGTAGCTTGACGGGTCATATCACAGCGTATGTTGTCGATGGATATGTCGATAGACAGTGTGACAATGTGAATATCTTGACCGTATTCGGCATTGTCGATGTTGTGTTGAATATCACCCTGACGACGACGACCACAAAATAGGTTTAGTATGTAGACCTCACGTCGCTGCACACGCCACGGCACCTGTTGGGTGGCAAGATGTTGAAAGTCCTGCGGGCGGAAAAGATAATGTCTGTCCGAGAATTGGGCCTCTGGTGGTTCATCTGGATCGTTCTGAACTCTGGGGGGGCGCCAGATCTCCTCCAGGGTCTCTTGAGCCTCGGGGGTAAGCTCGTAGAAGGCACCTCTGAGGAGCTCTTTGGCTTCGTCCTCATCGTATAAGGCAAAGACTTCGGCTGCTTCCCAAATCAGACCGTCGTCGCATACCGTAGTGGTTGCTGGGTAGGCCGATCTCCATCTGCCCAACCCGGCACGACGCTGGTCGGCGCATGCCTGACGGTCACGTGCTGCAGCTTGCTCGGCCTCGTCGGCCGTCATCTGAGCTCCGTGCAAGAAATGTGCTAAACAGCAGCGGGCTGCGTCGTATGCCAAATGATTGCGAAGTTGTCGGCGTGATGCGAATTCCATGGAACATGCTCGACATACTGCTTTGTCCCCCATAACCCTTTCCACGTGTTGGACCATGGTAAAGTGTGCACGTATGATGTGTTGTCGTAAGGCTGCAACCTTAGAGTAAGTGATGTGGCACCAAGGACAAATATATTGTTGTGCTGGTGGTCGGTCGGCAGCCCGCAAGGGATGATCAGGATGTGAAACTGGAAGTGGGAAGCCTCCTTCCCGAGCGCACTGGAAAAAGATGCGCTCTGCACGTGCTGCCAATGCCTGGCGGGCGGCGGCTTGTGCTGCACCAATCTGCGCTGCTCTCAGCTGACGTCTCCAGGAAGTAATGGATCTCCGAATGTGTTGTTCCCACGGGTGAAAGCTGTCTGCAGGGTCCGGGAAATCCTGGAACGATTTTGTAACTGTGCGGAGCCATCTGAGATCGTCCAATACGTGATGTAGCCATGTAGTCTTGGCGTGCTGCCGCGCGTGCTGTGGCTGTGGTGGCGTGGTGCGCAGTGAGAGCATGAGGCGATACACGTGCGCGAGCATACCGAGCAGAAGGTCGGATCCGTAGTGAAGCACTCGTCCCAGCAAGCGTAACCGATGCACGCGTAGCTGGACGTCAAGGTCCGACCGTTCCACGTGGGCTAAAACCTCAGAGTCAGGGACAGCGTGCTCGTCATATCTCTGCAAACCTGCCGCCGCGCGATATCTCATAAGTATGTTGGTACGAAGTACTTTGTGTGCGCCGTGCTCAATATTGATCCATGTGCCAGCGTTGTGTAAGAGAGAGGAGGAAATGAGCGCATCTACAAACCTCATCTTCATGGCGGTGGCGCCGACCTCGTGCGGCACACTGGGGAAGACACGGCGCCTTAAAATCTGATATGATTGGGAGATACCTGCAATGCGGTGTGCGATTTCTGGCCCCGTCGCTCCCCGCTCGTCGATGATAGTACCTAAGTGGGGGTATTGTCGGACCGCATGTATGGCGAAATCTCCAGCACTGTCGGAATGTACTTGAAAGACCCCTTGACGAATTTTCCAGAGCTCCAGTCGGGCCACCTTAGACTGTTTACCCCAGAACTGGAAGAGCAGCTCGGACTTCCCTTTCTTAAAGTTGAGGCGCAAGCCTCGCTCCGCGAAGCTGGACGCAACAATGCCTGCAACGTCGGCGGCTGTGCTGATCAGCCAGCACGGCGGCCCTAAGACTGCGAAGGCTCCGTCGTCAAAGAAACAAATCTCCAGGGCGGGTTTGGTGCCGACAGGCTCGTGGTGTATAAGCTGCGCTAAGGAGGCCCCAGGAAGCACTGGGACCTGGGTGGAAAGCTGTAGGGCTTGCAGACGTTGATTGGCTAAGTGAGTGCACTCAGCCATGATGAAATTGAAAACGACGTCCCCTAATGGTTGACCTGGCACCGTCCCGAAAGTCGAAAGCGCGATAAGGTCGGACCCTGGGTAAGTAAACCATGATCCGTGGTACGATGATGCGATGAGCGCCTGCAAGTGTGGACTGATGGAGGCCTTCTGGAGGGCTGGGGGCTGACAACTGAGCCTCTCGAGTAACCTGTGCAGGGCTGAAGGTGGGAGCCCAGTAGTGTGTAGAAGCATGGCGAGATCTTCGACCGTGTGACATGAGGCCATAACCAACTGACGTACTGATTTGTAGAAGGCCTGCACCACATCCACGAGTAGGAGCATGAGGGACGTGCCCTGCGACTCGGCAAGGTTCTGCAGGGTACGTATCGCTAAACCCGCCAGGTCTACGCCCCGACCCGCGATGCCCCCGTACTGCGAGTCCCCTGCAACCAGTGGTAAGATGTCAACAAGTGGTGTGCGGACCAGGGCGCGAAACTTTTTGCCGATCTGCGGCGACACC